CAAGTTTTATTGAACAATTATTTATTCATTGAACATTTAACACACCTCACCTGATTCTTTTTTTCACCCATTTTTTTATAGATAATAATAATAATAATAATAATAATAATAATCCTCACATTTGATATAGCGCTTTTCACGTCGGGAAGACGTCCCAAAGCGCTTCACAGAACACACTGTAAAGCGAATTGACTGTATATTTGTGGGCGAACGCGGCAGCCGATTGCGCACAGCAATGTCCCACAGACAGTCGTGGATTGAAAATGACCAATTTATTATTGTTTTTGGTTTTTGGAGGGTTTATTATTAGGCTCTGTGTGGAGTAAGGAAACTTGCCCAAGGTTTCGCCCTATAGATGATATCAATTAAGAGAACTGTTTCAATCACAGGAATCTCTTCAAATGATTTCCAGGCTATTTTTTTGGAGAGTTCCACCTCACAGGTTTTGCAAGGCTGTGATTTGCCTTCTCTGCCTTTTACACCACAAGCTTCTCTCCTTCTCTTCCTCCCCTGGTGAGCACTGTTACAACGAACTGAGCCCTTGACCAACAGTCACCTAACGCCTCCCGTTCCCCTTTAGGAGCAAATACACCTCATTTCGTTTTTTTTGCAAGCGATTAAACATTAATTAATTATCTCAGAGAAAGAGAGCTCGGGAGCCAGACCTAAATCTTTGTAGAGGAAACAAAATCACAATTTAAATGTTATTAACACGTTTGAGGCAATGGTGGGGATAGAGTCTCTGTTATTGAGGTGCTGAAGGACTATATATATATGTATATATCTACTATATATATATGTATATATAAAAATACACATTTATGTTGTAACTTTCTCCCTTCAACAGCCCCTCACAATCTATATTTCCTCTTGTTAATCAGAAATCAATTGCAATCTTGCTGATGTATTCACTCCACAATAATCTGTGACCAGGTCAGAAACACAAGCGATTTGGATTCAAGTGATTTTGAAACGACAGCTATATATAAAAAAAACATCAAACTTCCAGATTTATTACTCTGATAAGTTGCGTTTTTTAAAAAAAAACAAAGAAGTGTATTGTAACAAACCAATTCACCCACGAGAGAATAAATCATGTGAAAATCGTTTTGAAGAGCCCCCCCCCCCCCCCAGTGCATCACAGTATGTCACTGAATCAAATTCAAATGCAAGACCATTTATAATTATTTTTAAAAAATAATTATTAATGATGAAGGACCGAAATCGTCTGCTTTCAAAATCAAATTCACCTCCTGGATTGCAAAACACACAGCCCTTTTTTTTATTAAACTCCCACCCCCCCAACTTATTATAGTAATAAATCTGGAAGTTTTCTGGGCTGTTTAGCTGTTGTCTGAAAATACTTTTCGCGTTTCAAATAAAAGACTCGTATTTTTAAAAAAATCAATGAACATTTTTATTCATACATTTTCCACGTTTCTCAGCTACACACTCTATCGCTGCACTGTACAGAATCCAGTCAGAATCGATCAAATAATGACTCACACACACACTCACAACTCACTCACACACACACACACACAGCTTCAATAAAGCCCAAAGAATTCTTCACAATAATTAACATAATTAAAAAAAAACTTTTGTCAGCCTCAAGGGAACAGAAAAAAACAGACTTCCTTAGTGGTGTGAGCTGTGCACCATCGTATCCAATGTCTGAAATTCACTTTATTCTATGTTTTTCCCCCCCAAAAAAAGACATTTATTTGCCACTCCTCAACACACACACACAGACACACACACACACACAGCCCTGATGTGAATGACAGGCAGTGTTCATTGTAGAAACATTTATGTCTCCCACCTGCCCCTCTCTGTCTCTCCTTCCTTCTCTCTCCCCCCCCCCCCCCCCACCCCCCCCCCCACCCCCCCTCTCTCTCTCTCTCTCTCTCTCCCCTCCCTTCTTTCCATCTCTTCTCCACCCTCTGGCTCTGGCAAGGGCAGGTCAGCAACGTGAGGGGATCTGAATTGAATTTCAATAAGCCTTCTTTTCAACCAAAGAAGAAGAAGAAGAAGAAAAAAAGAGAGAGAGAGAGAGAGGGAGAGAGTCAGGGGTTGCATAGCAAACTGAAACCATCGAGGATGGAGTGAGACACACCAGATTCTTACACAAGGTAATTTGTGATGCAAAACACTTTTAACGCCTTAGGATAAGACTGGGGACAAAGCCAATCCTATTCTTTTGTGTGGAGTCTGTCTGAATAGACACTTCAACACATTATCAGAATTATCCTTTTTTTTTCTTACGCACCTGCAAAAAGTGCTCACATTTCTCTTAACATTTTTTTTGGGGGGGGGGGGGGACATTTTTGAAAGAAAATCCCTTTTGTCACATAAACTTCCTTAAAATCCAATAACCTTACCCAGAACTACACAAGAGCCCCTCGATAAAATTATTAACAAAAAAAAACACAGGCCAAAAAAAAAAGCAGTACATTCAGTGCAATGCAAACATGGTCAAGTTTAAACACCGAAATACATATATCCTTTTTCCCCCCCCCACCCCCCAAAAAAAACTGCTTTGACCATCTTTTAACATTTTTTTCACACACTCACACACACACTCACCCACCCACACACACACTCACACACACACACACCCACACACAGGCTTGTCACATAAACCTGTCAACAAAGTATTTACACTCGATAAATAGTTAATTTTTTTTCTTTTTTTTAAGAACAAAATGATGGCTACAGCTGTGGGATGGTTTGGGATGGTTTGGGATGCTGAGGGTGGGGGGGGGGGGGTGGGTGGGTGGTGGGGGGATGGAAGAGAGAGAAAAAAAATACAAGACAGGGGGGGAAAAAATGCATCTACTTAAACATTAAAAGAAAATTGGGACCAACAGACAAGACACTTAGCAGGTGGAACATTACACACTCTTAAGAGTTGAGTTAAAAAAAAATAAAAGGAAGCACAAGTCGGCAGTGATCAAGCGATTTTAGTGCAGGTTACAAACAGGAGATGGGAAGAGCAGTTGCAGAAGTCTCTGTGTGTGTGTGTGTGTTTTTGCATCTTTTTTCGACTCTGGGAACAGAAAATGGGTTCGTTTTTTTTTGGGGGGGGAATAAAAAGCAGCATTGCCGTGTCCCAGGTGCAGTCTCTTGGGGGAGTTCGATGAGGTTTTGCATACGACAGCATTCCCCCCAGAATGTGGATTTTATCTCTTTCCATTTTTTTTTATTGATCTCTCTCTTCGATTTGGTTGCGTTTTGCAGCCTCCCACTGGGTGCGATGCCGTTCGCGGACGCGAGGTGGCGCCCGCACTCCACGCCACCGTCACCGCACAAACTCTTTTTTTTAATCACACAACCCTCTTCTTCTGACAAATGATAAAAAGACATATTTTGTGAAAAAAAAACACATAACGAAACATCTCCAATCGAAACACAATCACCGGAGAGAAGGGGAGAGGGGGGAGGATGGGTTGGGGGGTGTGGGGGTGGTGGGGAATAAACAGATCGCCTAATTTCATTCATTTTTTGTTGTCTTCCTTTGGCCACTTCAGGAATTCAATGAATTTTATTTTGCTTTTTTATTTTTTATTTATCGATCTGCTAAAAAATATTTTCAAAGCATCTGATCTCACGTTCACAGGTCGATAAGAACCCACTGTGGTTTCCTCCAGTCGATAAAGACCGGTTTTGTCAGTCTATCACAAGCACTGAAAGTTCTTAACAAGTTTTGCAAAAAGTTTTTTTTCCCCCCAAGTTTTGTAAAAAAAAAAGACATTTTACCATCTCATTTTGGGGGCCAGATTTTTTTTTGTGGAAAAAAATAAGATTTCACTCCCCTTCCCCACACACACACACAAAAAAAATAGGTTTAAACCAACAAAATAACTTTTTTTTGAGTTAAAGTTTGTAAACTTCGGGTCAGGCAATGGTTGGAATATATATATATTTAAAAAAACAGGACAGGTTTTCAAATTGTTGTATGATATGGTTTTAAACAAAAAAAAACACTTACCCCACTCCCCCCCCCACACACCTCATCTCATCCCACTTCCCCCCCCAAAAAAGTTTGGCAGATCTGGAATTAAAAGGCGAACTTTTTATTGTGTTGGAAGAGTCGAAACGAAATGAAATGCACTGAGAGTTTTAAAGAGGGTTTTTGTAGGAAAAGCTCTTACAACAACAAGAAAAGACACCACAGCGTTCAGACAAGAAGACAAGGAGCTGGTGGATGGGGTGGGGTGTGGGGGGGTGGGGGGGAGGGTGTGTGTGGGGGAGAAAGGGGGGAAAAAAAAAGGCACATCGTCTCAAGTCGTTCTTGTTTTCTGTCTCTTCTTGAAACCTGTCCCATGTTTGGGGTCGTGTCTGAGTGATTCCAGGCTGTGGATTGCTTCCAAAAAAAAAAGAGTCCCGATCCCGATGGGGGCAAAGGAAATACTGTACAGTCGAGGTAGATGGCGAGAAAATTACAGTAGATTTTTTTTTCTTAATTCTTTTCTTTTCTGACAGCTCTACAGAGTTCGTAGCAATGCTTTCTTCTTCTTCTTCTTCTTCTTCTTCTTGATTTCGTGTGTGTGAGTGTCGACGAGGGATCTCCACAACACACCACCACATCAGAGACCAGACCACAACACCAGGATTTTTTTTTTGTTCTCTCCCTCTCTCTCTCTCTCTTTCTCGTTTGGCCCCAAAAAATAACAATAATAATAATAATAGTGTGGATTCCGAGCAGCTGTTTTTTTTTGGGGGGGGGAGGGGGGAAGGGACCAACAAAACGAGAGAGAGAGACACACACACACACAGAAAAAAAAACACCCCCCAAACGAAACGAATGCAAAAAAAAAGGACCACAGAACCACTTTTGTTTTTTTTTCCCCCTCCTCCTTCTTCCTCCTCCTCCTCATCCTCTTCCACAGTAATAACAATAATAATAATATTAATTAGAATAAACCTCGCCTCCGGGGGGGGGGTGTGGGGGTGTGTGTGGGGGGTGAGGGTGGGTGGGAGGGGGTGAGGGTGGGTGGGTGGGGGGGGGGGGGATGTGTGGGAGCATTACCGACCGCTGGAGCTGTACTTGGCTTTTGTGATGAGATACAGAACGATGTCCTGATGGCCCCCGAAGGCTGCGATGTGGAGGGCGCTCCAGCCGTCCCGGTTCGCCAGTCTGATGTCTGCCCCGAACTTCACCAACAGCTTCACCAGCTCCAGGTTCCCGTCGATCACCGACTGGTGCAGTGCAGTCTGGCCCTCGGGCCCGAACGAGTTCACGTTAAACTCGCAGTTCGTCATACTCTGCAGCAACGAGTGGAGTTCCTTTGTATTCCCCTTCTTCACCGCCTCCTGGAAGACCCTCTGAGGAGCCGAGCAAGTGGACAGCTCCGTCTGACTCATCTTCACTCACCCACTCACTCACTGAGAGAGAGAGAGAGACACACACACACACACACACCACACAGGTACCGTAGCTGGTTAGCCAGGTAGGTAGGTAGGTAGGTAGTAGGTAGGTAGTAGGTAGGTAGTAGGTAGTTGGGAGGTTATGTCGATCTCTCCTTCTCTTCTCTCCTCTCCTCTCCTCTCCTCTCCTCTTCTCTCCTCTCCTCTCGCAGTCGAGATTGCTTTTTTTGCGATGTCAAACACAAAAGATCCTCAGCGAATTGCAGGGAAAACGCACAGCAGCTGAGAGACGATCCGATCCGATCCGATCTGAACGCTGCTCACAGGGAGGCAGGAGTTCAAAGAGGGATTGGTGTGAGTTGCGAGGAGGGAGGAGGCGGTGGCGGTGGCGGTGGCGGTGGTGGGTGGGGGGTGGGGGGTGGGTGGGGAAGAAGAGATGAGATGAAGATCGGCACAAGAACTCCCCCCCTGGTTTACACTCCGCAAAGTCTTCTTTCCTCTGTTCTGTTCTGCTTTTGCTTTTGCTCTTCTCTTCTCGTCTCCCGAACACGTTCACCCGCACACAGACACGGACACAGACACAGACACAGACACGGACACACGCGTTGCAAATCCTTGACCGCAGGGGTTGCCTTGAGTGGAGTGCGGATTGCCTTGGTCTTGCGGGAAGGGCATCCGGGGGGGGGGGGGGGGGAGAGGGAGAGAGAGAGAGAGAGAGTGGGAGGGAGAGTGTGTGTTGTGTGTGTTTGGGAGGGGAAGAGGGGAGGGGGAAAGGGGGGTGGGGGGGGAGAAGAGGGCAGGAGAGGGGAGGGGGGGGGTTAAAGTCGGAGCCACACACGGTACACAGACAAACCTGTGTGTGTGTGTGTCTGTCTGTGTGTCTGTGACCCTCTGTGGCTGTGTCTGACTCCCCCTCTCGCTGTCAGCTCTGCTCTGCCCTCCGCTCCCGCCGCGCGGCCGCTTTTTACGCTACGCGGGAAATTACCATAACAATGGAACGTCGCGGCTCCCCGCGTTCCGAGCCGGGCAGCCAATCGCAGCCCTCCGCCCCGCCTCCCCGCGCCGGCTATTGGCCGCGGCCCCACGTGGCTCCCGGGGGGGCGGGGCCGGGGGTTTATTCATTAAAAATTCTGGACCGTGGGAACCAGGCGGCCAGACCTTCCCACTGAGTGAGAGAGTCACACACACATATACACACACAGAGGGAGGGGAGAGAGAGAGACACACATACACACATACATACACACATACATACATACATACATACATACATACATACACACATACATACATACATACATACACACATACATACATACATACATACATACACACACACATATACACACATACATACATAGGGAGGGGAGAGAGACACACACATACATAACATACATACATACATACATACATACATAGGGAGGGGAGAGACACACACACACACACACACATACATACATACATACATACATACATAGGGGAGAGAGATACACACACACACACACTTAGACACAGGTACATGAAGAGGGAGAGAGATACACACATACATGAAGAGACAGAGAGGGAGAGAGAATGCATACATGCACACAGATGTACAAAGGAAGAGACAGAGAGAGATACACACAGACAAAATCACAGATCCGCACACGAACACAGACAGATACAGGAAGAGAGAGAATACACACACACACACACACATATATGCAGACACAGACTGATACAGGAAGATACAGACACAGATACAGGAAGATACAGACACAGATACAGGAAGATACAGACACAGATACAAACCGAAGGTACAGATACAGGTCAAAGATACAAAAAGAGACAGACAGAGACCCATATACACAGACAGGTACACGAAGAGACCAGAGATACAGACACTGATACAAACACAGGCACATATGCAGGAAGAGAAGAAACACGTACACAGACACAGGAAGATGGAGAGATATACACACAGAGACACAGCTAAGGAAGAGGGAGAGAGAGACATATAAGCATATAAAGACTGATAGAGGAAGAGAGGGAGACACACACATACATACATACACACACACAAAGACACAACAATAAGAGAGAGAGATGCCCACATACAGGGAGGGAGGGATGGAGAGAGAGAGAGAGAGGAAAGAAACCAGGGAAGAGGGGGTATAGCAGAAAGGGGAAAAACATTTCAGGAGAGTCCGACAAATAGGAAAAAATGGCACAGTTGGCGATCAAACACACAGAGGAGTGAATACACACCGAATTCAAAAAAAAAACAATCCCGATATTTCTGATCAAACGGTACAGTGACAGCGTCTGACTTTTGATGGGTTCAAGTCAGAAACCGACCATTGTGGACTGTGACATTGCGCCTCTCTGATCATCTCTGTAACACACACACACACACACACACACACACAGCATCGCAAAGGCACCTGTGTAAGGAAGAGATAAAGGTGGGGTGGGGGGAAAGGGGGGGGGGGGGGAGAATGGGACAGGGGAAAGGGGGGGGGAATGGGACAGGGAAAGGGGGAGAGAATGGGACAGGGGAGAGGGGGGGAGAGAATGGGACAGAGGAAAGGGGGGGAGAGAATGGGACAGGGGAGAGGGGGGAGAGAATGGGACAGGGGAGAGGGGGGGAGAGAATGGGACAGGGGAGAGGGGGAGGGAATGGGACAGGGGAGAGGGGGGGCAGAAGAAGAAAGGGGAAAAGACTACAACGACAAACTGGAACGCTCTGTGGAGTTAATGCACAATACTGTGCCCTGTGTCTGGGTGTCTCTTTCTGTATCACTCAAGATTTTTTTTTGCAGAGACAAGTGCAAGTGGGTTGATGAATGAGTGAGGTTTCAACCAGTGAAGTCGCCAAGCGTTGGGCAATGCTGGGGGTGGGGGTAGTTTTGGGGGGTTTGGGTAGGTTTGGGGGGGGTGGGGGGGGGGGGGCTTGAAGTGGAGTCAGGCTGCAGGTGGAGAGGGAACACGTTCTGCTGAAATGCAGGGAAATAATCATGCAGGATAAGAAGAGAGAGATTTTTTTTTCTTTTGCTTGGGATTTTGGCAAAAGCAATCCACTCTCGCAGCTTTGAACACCCAACACGTTACACGTCAGTGTCAGGGATCAGAAAGGGGGGTGGGGGGGGGTGGGGGGGAATTGCATCGATGATAAAGGGGAAAAGTGGGTAATCCCAAAGACATAATAAACCTGGCAAACAATGCAACAGCAATTTTAACACTTGCCAGGTAAAAGGAAATAACACTCGCGAACTGGGCTGTTTGATCAGAGCGGAACAGATTGAACCCGTTACAGCGGTAGCTCCGGTCCTTGCCGTGTGCTGTGAGCTGACCCCGGGGGGGGGGGGGGGGGGGCAGTGTCTTCTATAATGTCTCTACATGCCCGCTCCCCCCACCCACCCATCTCACTCAAATAGCCATGTTTTCGGTCAAAGGGGCCAAGGAATCATCCCACTCGGCTCCTGTTAACCCCGTAAGCCAAAGCCCTAACAGGCAGGATGTCTCTAGCTGGACAAGCAACAACAACAACAACAACAAGATTACATTTGCATAGCGCCTTTCACGTCGGGAAAGCTTGCCAGACAATCCTATCCAAGCTGCGCGGTTTTAGCTGCTTAAGACTCCAGCCGTCACCCCCAACGCACACTCACTCAGGGGTCGCCAAGCCAAGGGGCTTTTGCCAACCTGAGCCTAATACCTTCCGGAATTAGGTGCACGTTCATTCCGACAACCTATTTCTGGAATCTCCGTGTGTAGGTGGGATGCGTGGAATTCTCAGTTTGGTTTGGATACTCTTAAGCACGGTGATGGGTTTCCGCATGTGTCCAGACACAATTTTTTTTAGCTGTGTTTGAACCTGCGTTTGGGGGACCCCGGAGTGCGTTTTGAAGCCTAACCAGCTAACACCACAATGCTTGCCATTGACATCCTCCGAACGTGAAAGGTGCTGTATCAACTGCAAAGGTTATCATTGTTTACTCCACATTCTGAAGGCGAATCTTTTTTTTCCAAATACATCTTACGAAAGCACTCCACGCCAGGCAAGCGGAAATGTCCACACGCATGCAAAGTTCTCACGAGTTTGCTTTGGAACCTGTTAAGCAGGGTGATGGGTTTCGAAGCGTAGTCAGACACCCAGTTAACCAAAAAAAAGCACATCACTGAAGCAGACTTGGCAGGCTAATAGATGGAGGATCATCAAGCAAGGATGTAACAAAATCGACAGGGTAGAGTTCAGAGGTTTATGGCATCATCTGGAATCTGAGACTGTTCACAACTGCTGAGGAGCGCTTTCAAGTAGTTAAAGGATAAAGGCTGATCAAGGATTTCCCTTTAAAACATTGTTTTGCGATGTTGATGACTAACGAGAGGACCTGGATTCGATTCCCAGGCAAGGCGAAATGTAAAAAAAAGCAAGTTTTCTTACACACGCTGCTGTTTACCTAACAGTGAGTAGGAACCCGGCTGTTAGTCGATTGTTGGATCGCTTTACCGGTGGTAATAATCACTCAAAAAAAGTGGTCACTCAATCCATGACTGTTTGTGGGACACTGCTGTGTATCTGTGGGAGACACTCAATCAATCCAACCACCTTGCCCCCCTCTCCCCTTTTCCAAGTCCTGCCTGAAAACCTTTTCAACCGTACTTACGGTCACCTCCCCCAACTCCCCCCCCAGCTCGGAGTCAGGCTCCGCCACTGTTAGTCGCTCTGAGACTCTACCCTGCACGGAGGACACTACATAAAGTGCAAGTGGTTGTTGTTGCTGTGTGCACTTGGCTGCCGCATTTCGCCTGCAAAACATAGTCAGCTCACTTTACAGTATATTCTGTGAAGCTTTGAGACGTCTCGAAGGCGTGATAGGGCGCTATATCAAATGCAAAGATTATTATTATTGTAGATCCAATTGGCCCGATTGCTGAGGGAATGAAGGTTCCTGTATGAGAGGTCATTTTTTTTTGTGGTGGGGTGGGGGGTGGTGGGGGGCTTAAAATAGTTCCTTTGTGACCCTCTGTCACATTGGTTGCCTTTAAGTGGTGCTATCACCTTTTGGTTTCAAATCGTTTCCAAAACAGTGGCTTTTGCTTTTCTGTTGAAACTTACAAGTCGTTGCATCCCACACCAACACCCACCACACTGCCCCTGAGCCAGAGTCATCCACAATTCATCTTAAACAAACACGCTGAGAATCCAAACATTTTGTTCACCTCTAGCTTCAAAACACCTGGCAAATGTTTCTTTTAGGGATGCCTTGGGGCTTATTTCCGATAAAGTTATGCCACATAGCCAGAAAGATTTCATCCTCCCTCTCTCTCTCTCTCTCTCTCGCTCTTTGTGCACACCCAGCCTTCCAGCAGTAAAATGAGTGGCTGGCTCGTATTCCTTCACATGGGCGAAATCAGATTACTTTTTTGGCTGGGGTTGGTTCAAGCCTCTGAGGGTATTGGTGTGTTCAGCAGAAAGGGTGTTGCACTGGGTGTTACGCACCCGGAACCACATTGGGTAACCTGGGGACCCTGCAGCGAATATGTATCTGGCAGACAATGAATTCCATTGTCAGGCTGGGCTGTACGATAAAAAAAACAGTCACTACACTCAATTGCTTCGAAGTCCTGTGAGCTGTTTGGATGTGATTAAGCGCATCAAAACAGCTCGCAGCCCATCAAAACAGACGTCAAAATGCCTTGCGACGTCCTTCCCCCATGAAAGGCGCTATATAATTTGTGTGAAAGAATGCTTCCTGATTTCACTCCTAAATGGCCTGGCTCTAATTTTAAGGTTATGTATGCCCCCTTGTTCTGGATAGAGTGCTGAGAATGTCCAAATGTCTGAAAGGTTTTGCTGTCGAGGGTGGTGACTTGTAGATAAACCAGGTAGCCAATTGGCGCAAAGTGGCACTGGCTCCATTAACAGCCAGTGATTTATCAGGAGGATTGGTAGTCAGGACATCTTCATAACATCTGGAGGAAGGCGAGAGTATGGAGGTTGGCTGAAGACCGAATTAGACTCAACTGTAATGTCCCACAACATCACAGCAGCCTGCCTGACGCTGATACTCAGAATCCAGGCTCGCAAATAAAGAATAGCCATTTCGGACAGTTATTGGCAGCTGTGGAACCATCCTCCATGGTTCTCTTTTAGTTCATTCTTTAAGCCAAAGACGTCTTTGCTCCTATCCCCAAATTGTAATTGTGCACCTGCTACTTCGTCACAGTCTTCCTCTCTCACCCGCCTCTCAGTGAAGTCTGTGTGTGGCTCCCTGCACCCCACCCACCCGGTCAGGTTAGAAACTCAGTGATTAGAGCACTCGCCTCGCGAGCGAGAGACCTGGGTTCGATTCCCGGCAAGGCGAAATGTTGGGCAAATTTCCTTACTCCACACGCCTCTGTTTACCAAGCAGGAACCCGGTTGTTAGTCGATTAGCGGTTCGCTTTTCCGGAGTAATACTTCCTTAAAAAAAATAATAAATTGATCACTTCAAATCACGACTGCTGCTGTGCGCAATTGGCTGACGTGTTTTACTCACAAAATATACAGTCAATTCACTTTACAGTATGTTCTGTGATGCGTTTTGAGTCATCTCGAAGACATGATAAGGCACTATATCAAATGCAAGGATTATTATTATATTATTATTATAAACTGCTAGTCCTTATTGAAAACGGATCATTTTATTGATTTAAAACGTTACATGGAATGTTTCACAGAAAAACCAAATATTGATTTGAAATGGTATCCAATAAGAGTTCCGGACCCGAATAGCCTCTGGCCCTGGAGACCACATTACAAGAGGAAGAAGCAAAGAGAGGAAAGGCTTAAAAAGCAGGAGCAGCTTTGGCTTTGAATCAGTGAAAAAGGCCGGGAGGCATGAGGAAGCAGCCAATTGTGACAGTCCCACTCCACTCAGCTCCGAGCGGCTCCTCTTCATCGCTTGCAGATGAGCCCATTAGTGTATTATCCCTCCGCCCTGGAGGCTTGACTTACTGGGAAGGAAAGCTGCTTAGTCCAGCTGCCGTCACAGTTACAGGGAGTCCTGGACTGGCTAGGCTAGGCCAGATTGTGTAGCATTGCCTCCTGCAAGCCGCCAATGTAAGTATCACACCCACACTGGCTGAGCTTAGCACAGGCACACTGGGTTTGTCTGGAGTAATCCTGGGGAGATCAGCGAACTCTGAACCCAAGGGCTCTCTCTGGGGCCTCTAGACAACACCGCTGCCAGCCACGCACACTCCCTGGTTGGTGCCCTTGGACTGATTGCCACCCGGCTGAACCGTTTCGACGGGAACTGAGATTGGATGTGAACAAAATACAAACAACACTCTTAATTAAACAATGAGATTGATTGATTCATTCATTAAAAAAATTAACTGCCTCGATTGACGTCAGGTTGGGGGGGGAGGGAGGTGGGGTGGTGGGGGGGATGTAAGGAGAGGGGGACGTATGTAAAGATAATCAAAAGGATCTGATAGTTCTTGTATGACAAGTCACATAATCTCTCACTCCATTATCTGGAGGGATTGGGGTGGGGCGGGTGGGGTCTGAGCATGGGATGGCCCCACGTTCAGACACTACCCAATGGGCACAGCCCCCACCCCCAGCCCCCGGCACTACCCCCCCCCGCCCCTAACCCCCAGCCGCACTACAAGTTGTAAAATGTCGCCCCGTCCGGTATGTGCAGCACTTCTTTGAACTGGGAGACCACCCGGCCGAAGTGCGATCCCTCCCAGAACACTTTGCCGCAGCCGGTGCAACAGTAAAACACGTCAACCTTGTCCAGGATGCCGGGGGGGACGGCCCCCACCTGCAGAGAGGCCCCGCTAGTGAACCGCAGGGTCTCAGGGTCCAGCCAGGACCGCTCTACCCAGTGGCAGTTTGGTCTGTACGCTGAGTGTCCTGGCTGCCCACGGCCGCTGTCCTCCAGGGCCCGCGCAGAGATGTCCCGGGATCCAGCCTCCTCACAGCTCATTCCTGGCCTCGCTCCTTTTGCATCTGGAAAATGATATATTTTCTTAAAAGAATCAAAAAAAAAAGGACAGCAATAATCCTCGCATCTCCTCCACACCCCCTTCTGTCGCCTTGACATCTTTCCTCAATTTAGGGTGAGGAAAGCCGGACACAATGTTCTGAACGAGGTGTAACTAGCGATTTATCCTGGCCAACAATCAGCCCAAAGGTCAGCAGCGATCTGATGTCCCGTCGACAAGGCTTCCTGTTTTGACGTGCCGATGGAGCCAACCTACTTACTCTGTACACGCTCATTGACCGGCGATAGCACCTTGTTATAGCACTGGCTGGGATTTACGTAGTCCAACATATAACAAGACTCGGCTGTATACCTCTATGAGGTCCCCTTTTCAAGGCTGAGGAGCGAGCGTGCCCCAGCTCAGTACCAAAGGGGGAGTAGAACTTGTCTCGGTGTTAGTTGTGTCGATGTTTTAGATGGTCCAAGTCTCCCAGTCTGACTGACTGTGATGGGCTACTTCTGCTGTTCATTATACAGCTTCTCCCTGTATTTAGATGTTGAGCCTAACTGCCCGTTCTGGTGATGTTATCCAACATCCCACAAATATTTTCAAGCAGGATGAGGAATTCCCCCAGCACCCTGCCCAACAATATAACAAAATACTTCGCATATAAAATCACATGGAACGTTACAGCAATGGGTTCAGTCAAACTAGTCCGTGCCGGTGTACATTGTGGAGTCCCGTAGCTCAGTGGTTAGAGCGCTCGCCTCTCAAGCGAGAGACCTGGATTCGATTCCCGGCAGGGCGAAACCTTGGGCAAGTTTCCTTACTCCATACGCCTCAAGAAAAAATTGGTCACTTCAATCCACGACTGTCTGTGGGACACTGCTGTGCGCAATTTGGCTGCCGCATTTCGCCCACAAATTTATATTCAATTCACTTTACAGTATATTCTGTGAAGCGCTTTGAGACGTCTTGTGAAAAGCGCTATATCAAATGCAAGTATTATTATTTTATGAGCCTGCACCTATCCCCTCTCCTTAACCCACTTATGACCGTTTCTTCCTGAATACTTAGTAATAATTTATGCCTTTGATACAGTACCGAAAATTTCAAAAAGCACTTAACAGTGGTTTTGTACAGTACAGCGACTGTGAATTTGGCACCCAATTTAAGAGCAGCATTGGCCAGCAAACAGCAATAAAGTGAGTGACCAATTTAATTTGGGGGGGGATTATCAGATAAGACATCGGAAGAAACTTGCTTCTCTTTTCCAGCAGTGTCATAGGATTGTTACAAGTCCTGTAGTTTATTGGTTAGAGCACTCTCCTCGCAAGCGAGTGGACCTGGGTTTGATTCCTGGGCGGGGCAAAGCTTTAGGCAAGTTTCCTTACTCCATATGCCTGTTTATCCAGCAGTAAATAGGAACCCGGTTGTTAGACGATTGGTGGAACACTTTACGGGACTAACAATCCCTTCAAAAAAATACTAATATCTTGGTCACTCTTTTCCACAACTGTGGGACAATGATGTGCGCAATTGGCTGCCGCGTTTAACCTACAAAATATACAGTCAATTCACTTTACAGTATATTCCGTGAATCGCTTCGAGATGTCTCAATAATGTGAGAGAAGGCACTATATCAAATGCAAGAATTATTATATTTCCCTGCATATTCCTACTAAATTTTTCGAGACTCAGACTACGAGGCTGAAAAGAATCAAATTGTTCTGATACTATTTTACTAAATAGTAAATATATTGTCTATATCAGCTCTCTGCGACGTTCTCCCGAGGTGAAAGGCGCTATATAAATCCAATTTATTGTTAGGTATTGTATTCACTGAGGTCAAGGAGGATGATTTTGAACAAGATTGTATAACAAGTGCTCTGTGTTGTGAATGGGAATCATTCCAGTAATGTTCTATCCACTGTCTCCTCTCTCACACCCCAATCCTAAAATCATCCTTAATCCTTGGGTTTGGTAGAGCGCTTTAGCAAACCGAAAGGACATCTCAAAGCGCTTCAAGCAATTATTGTGAAATGGAGTGACTGTGCATTTGTAGGCAAACCCTGCAGCACAACTGAGCACAGCAATGTCCCACAAACAGCCGTGAAATTAATTCTGAACGTATAATAGTAAAAATAATAATCCCTGCATTTGATCAAACGCCTTATCGCGTCATCTAAGTGTCTCACGAGAACGTCACCGGATTTACTGTGAAGTGCAGTGCAGTGGCTGTGTATTTTGAAGGTAATTACATTTCAGCTCTGGCAACCGTGTTATAAAAGATGTTCAGATCAGCTGCGTAGGCTCATAAATAAGCGAACGAGGCACTGTGAGGTGCGGTTACAGATACCTTCTGCAGGAAACTGAATCCACCAGTCTGCCTCATGACCCGCTAATCAAATTACTGTACTCGCTCCCGTGACAAGCCAGCCGGCCGACCTCAGTGCTGTCCCTGTTTCAGCCGTTCAGGAATTTCTTTGTAACTTGTTTAAAAAGCTACCTGTCCTCACTGGCGAGCTCCAGCAAAAGTCAAACAGGGGCTGGTGCCAAAGCGCTGGGGAAAGGTCACTAAGTCTAGAAAGAAAGGGGAAAGCTTTCACACCGTCTCGAAGAGATGATTTTTCTCTTTCTCGCGCTCTTTTCTTCCCCAAACTCTTGAGATTAAACAGCTCCATCTCGACTGCTGGGAGCCGAGAACTGAGGAGCGATGTGTACTGTGTTTTTTTTTGGGGGGGGGGGGGTGGGGGGTTAAAACTGATACAGGTGGCAACACCCCACGCCGCCCACAGCCCCTCTCCCGCCCCCACCTGTGTCAAAGAGAGAGAGAGAGGATGCCAATTGCAGCGAATGCTGGGAGCCCTGTGAGCACGTGATGTGAGCTAGTCCTGAAGGAATGCACTGTGCAAAGATGACACACCTTTCACTGCAAGGCTAACTGCCTCTCAAATATTTGCGGTTTTCCCAAAGGTAGAAAAGAGCTGAGTGAGAGCCTGCAGCTGACAGGTACGTTCGGGACACCGTGTACCTAGTCTTGGCACAGTTTACCGACCTGCAAAAAAGAGACAGGCACATACCTCCAAAAGGAAAACAGCTTCAAAAACAACTTCTGTTCCCCTTTATCCGGTCATGCTTACCAGTTATAATGTCCCCATTAACCGGGCTCGAATGTACCATTCAGTGCTTCGTTCCCTCTGCCATTTGCCCTTCCTGTCCTATAAGTAGGAGTGAGGTGTGATTCCCCAGGGATTGAAAGAGTGGCCCGGAGGGAATAGACGCCTTGAGAGATAAAATCCATCTCCCGGAAACTGATCAAACGTCACTCAATCTCCGCGGACTCAGCTCTGACAAGCGGATTAACAGGCTGGCGTGAACGCTGCATGACAGAGTGAGTGAGGATGCACTTACACAGCCCAGGGTACTTTCTCCAGTGTAAGGTGCTGTAGTTTATTTTTTCTGTGAGCGCTTTTGTTTTTCAAACTCCCTGTGCCTGCGGTGCAGCTTTCTTGCTAAACGTCCACTCCCCTCGTTCACAACAACAATAACTTACACTTATATAGCACCCCTCATGTCACGGGAATCTTTCCCGTCCTTGTGAACAGGCAGACGGGACCTCAATTTGACATCTCATCTGAAGGACGCCACCTCCAGCAATGCAGCACTGCTGCCCACCCCCCCCCATGAATATTCCCTCTCCTCTGCAGTGCCCATCACCAAAGTTAGCAATCGACCACAAATACTGGAGAATATTGCCACTTGTACTCGCTGCCTCCCCTCAGTCACACAGCAGCTAGTCTGACTCAAGGCTGCTTTTGTAACCTGCTGTTCGTGTTTACATCCACTCTCCTTCCTGCACTGACCGCAATCTGAGCAATCGAAAGACTGAGGAAACCAAAGTAGAAAGGTGCTGGCTGGGAAAGAGTTAAGATGCTCGCTCACACTGCCTTGAGAGTGAGCCAGCGCCTGTGCGCAGACCACAGCTCGAAGTCATGAAGCACCGCAAGGGGTGGCTGTGTTTACAGTCTCTCTCTGTGCTGATCTCACACCTCCTCACTGTGCTGGGAACAGACACAACAGCTATGTACACGTACTGATGCACATTCTACTGCAAAGATCTACATACATAAAGCACTGTACTATACCCAAGGACCCATATCAGGTAGTGGTTTATAGGTAAGGTGAGGACCTTTAAGTTGATCCATTGGGAGCCTTGCGGGGACTGGGGTGATGGGGTGAGGACGCGGGTGGTGAAGGTTTGAATGAGCTGGAGTTGGTAGATGGAAGGAGACTGGTGAGGAGTGCTTCAGTCGAGTCAGTAGGTAACAGAAGTGTGAATGAGGGTGTTTGTGCAGAGGTGGGCAATGTGGCAAAAGTGAAGAAAAGCGATGATGTGCGGTAGATACGTGCAGACACACATACCTACACTGTGGTATTGTGCAGACACATACAACAATAAATTGCATTTATACAGCGCCTTTCACATCAGATGGACAGGCGCTGCACAGTTAAGAGTTTGCACCTGAGCTGCGGGATGGAGTCGGGGGGGGGGGGGGGGCAAGGAGCTTGCCCACGGTCGTGGGGGAGAGGACTGAAGGGGCGGTCAAAGAGGAAGGTCTCACAGTTGAAACTGTACAAACACACACTGCACAGACACAAATACAGATTACAGCACAATAACGTAAAGCCACACCCAAATACTGTTTGCTATAGAAGTACCCACAGGTACAGACAGCATTGTAATTTACAGACACACAGCTCCCTACAGGCACACACAAACATTCACCCCTGCACTCACACACACAGATGGTAACAGATCCCCCCACCCCGCCCCGGTGTGGGACACTCATTGTCTGGTCAGGGAGATTTTTTGAAAACATCTTAAAATTTTAAGGCTAAGACCATGAAGAATCCAGGGTCTCAGCAGAGGAGGCATTGAGGGAAAGACAAGTATCTGATCTGATCTGAGCGTGGCTCCTCTAAATTCCAAACAGCATCTCTGTGAGAGAGAGAGAGGAAGTGGGTCTTTCACACGCTGCAGGAAGCTTCACTTCTTCCTTCCACAAACCGTGGCCAGTTTGGTAGCACGATCCCCTCTCAGTCAGAAAGAAGTTTGTGGGTTCGAGTCCTATGTCAGGACTTTGAGCTCACAGCCCAGGCTGACACTGACCGTCTCCTCACCTGGAACGAACTCCGGATGCCAATCACCCCCTCGACTTCAAGGCCCTCACCCCCATCTACAAATCCGTTTATACCCTGGCTCCTCCCTATCTCTCTGACCTCCACCTACCCCATTTCTTCCGCTTGGCTGGCTCGGGCTCGCTGTCAAGCGCTCCGGGACGCTACCCCTCATGAAGGGCGCTATATAAATACAAGTTGTTGTTGTTGCTGTTGCACGTCCCCTGCCCTATCAGTGGCTAAGCTTTGAGATTCTACAGCCCTAATCTCTGGAACTGCTTCCTTCACCCCTTCGGCTTATCCCCTCTCTATTGTCTTCAAGTCCCATCTTCAAACCTACCTGATAGACCGTGCCTACGGTCACCTCCCTCTTCCCCCACCCCCCTCCCTGCATGGCCCATGTCCGACCCCATCACTATGAAGCACTCCTACGTGAGGGTGCTACATGAAAGCTGCTATTCATGTCACACCTGTTAGTGGGAAGTTGCCATGTATAAATTGTGTTTGTCTTACAAATGCATAGCCACTACACTTTAGAGTGTATCCTGAGAAGCGCTTTGAATTTGCGTTAAATTATTGTAAGTATTATTAATAACAATAATCCTGTAAATACACAAGTCACTACACTTGACAGTTGCTGTCAACTCTCAGCGCCTTGAGATTGTTTGTAATAATTGCGATTATCATCATCGCTGACGTCTCCGCTGTGGAAGCAGGTTCGGTGGTGGTGCAGCGTCCACTGCACCCCTCTCAGCCTTCCTCCTCCACATTTGAGGGTGGAGGCTGTTAGACAAGAGGAAAGCTGCAAACAGCAGAGAGAGGCTGCACACAGAGCTCCATCTATTCATGTGGTCTTGTGGCCTCTTCCAGGCGCCTGTGAACGTGTCACAAGCCCGGGCTCGGGGGAAGGTTCCCACGGTCTGGCTGAGAAGCCTCAGACACACACATGGCCCTGCCATCTCATCTCTTTGTCAGCGCGGCAGACAACTTTCAAAAAACTCTCTCATGTAAACTGACTAGTGAAGCTTTCGGAGTCTGTGCAAGAAGTACAGCTGCGAGCAGCCTCAGCTAAACTTTAGCACCGGAGAGGGTTTTTGTACAGCATTGTGTAATCTACCCTTGGTCTTGAGGTGCTAAGGAACACACAGCTGTACTCCACAGTGTGATGCTGGGCCTCTCGAAAATGACAACAAGAGGAGAAAACTGTACGGGGAGGGTGGTGTGTGTGTGTTAAAAGAACAAAAATTTATTATTAATAATAATCCTTGCATTTGATATAGCGCTTTATCACGACTCTGAGACCTATCAAAACGCTTCACAGAATATACTGTAAAGTGAATTGACTGTACGTTTTGTGGGAGAAATGTGCACTTATTTGTACGCTTTCCCGTAAAGAGAAAAAAGTGTGTTACAGGGAGGGAGCAGGGAAAAAAGGAGGCGCAGTCAAAGAGATTTTGAAAGTGGAGAGGGAAGGTGTGAGGTGGGGGTTTGGAAGAGAGTTTCAGAGAGTAGGGGGCAAAGACAGAGCAGAGAGTGTGGGTAGGGGAATTGGATAGCAGGGACTCAGAGCGAGACGGGGAGAGCGAGAAACAATGAAAGAAGATAACGAAGTAATCCATTAAAAAATTGGACTGTCCGATTTATAACTTCTCAACAATGTCATAATAATTAATGAATTGGTCATGTATAGTTGTTAATGTGATGTCGCTGTATAGAGATGCACACATAGAGGTTAAACGCTGTGCAGGCACAGCACGTGTTGTGTGACTTTGATGTGATTCAGGCCCTTTATGAACTGTTAGGATTATTATTTGAGCGTCAGTAACCAGTGGTGGCACTCAAAGCTCTGGTGCAACCTCCTCCATCTCCTGCCTGTTCCCACCTCTGTCTCATCTGTCCCCATCTTTGCTAAACTGTCTGTCCGCACCTCTGTCCACCATCGGTATCCACCTCTGATAACTGCTGTGCGCAATTGGCTGCCGCGTTTCGTCCACAAAATACAGTCACTAGATTTTACAGCGTATTCTGTGAAGCGTGTTGAGACGCAGTAAGGGGCTATATCAAATGCAAGGATTTTTATTACTATTAATATTATTATAACATCAAATCCCCAAACCCTCTCTCCAGGTACCTGCACTTCTTGCTCGAGTTCGGTCAGGTTTCAGCTTCATCATTTTTGCCATCTCATCCACGGGCAGCTTCAGATACCTGTTCCCATTGCAAACCTGTAAAAGAGTGGGAGTGGGTGAGCGAGAGACACGTGGAGATAAGAGTGAGATAAAGAGATAAAAGGAAACAATTGAGGGAGAAACAAGACAATGAGTCATTGCTAGAGAGAGAAACACACAAGACACACACACACAGACGCAGATGGGAAGGATATTAGGAAAAGGATACAAAGGAGAAGTAGTGGAAAAGAGAAACAATACAACTTGTTATTAAAATGCAAAATAAAGTATTTATGCTAAAAATACGATAAGTATCTTTGTGTTTGACGAAATGCAAGTGACATCAAGAGGTCTCAAGGTCTCAATACATGCGTGAACATGGCAGCTTTTCTGCATGTTTTATCCCTGTTTTTCTTGTGATTCAGCAACCATTTAATCTGACACTGCCCAGTACATCAATACACTGAGTAACACTGCCAGAGACTCACTCCCGTCTTCTTATGAGAGATGATAATACCTTGCATATGATGTAACTGCTTTCACGTCAAGTGGACGTCTCAAAGCACTTCATGGAATTGTACTGAAAAATGTAATCAAACGTCTACAAAACCGGATAGTGAGGTGGCGAGATGGAGGGGTAGCGGGAAGGAGTTCCAGAGGTTGAGGGGGGGGTAGTAGCTGAAGGCTCGGCCACTGATCTTGGATTGGACCCAGCCGATAGCTCTTTAACAAAGTTTCCCTTGTTGCTGATTAGACTGCAATAGGTTAATCTTCCTCAGACTCTGCACATTACAGCCCTACATTCAGTGATAGCTGGGAGCAGGGTGCCACTCTGTGTGAACTTCACCCAGGCTAGAGTTATCTCACGCTCTGTCATTATCAGTCTTCAAGTGGGTGTGTGGTTTCACAATACACCTTGCAGCAGCACACTCACTGCTCAGTCACTCGCTGAGAACCAGCGCCCACACTCCAACTCCAGGCCACAGCTTGTCAATTGCTTGCAAAAAGCACCTGGGTGAGAGAGAGAGAGAGAGAGAGAGACACGGCCTCAGTGATCTGAGCCGCACACTTTCCACTTCAAACAGTCAGTAGGTGCCAGTCCTGAAATGATTTCTGCCCTGAATCAGTCATCACGCAGACGCAATTGCAGAACCCGAGAATGTTTTGTGATAAACCACATTTTAGAATGCGTGTGTTCGTGTGTGTACACGTGTGTGCAGCTCGCACATGCTTGTAACCGTGCGAGAAGGAACTACACCTGGTTCGTCTATCTATGAGACAAGCTGATTTTTCTCACAATCTCAGCAATGGGTCTGCTGATCAGAGACCGGCCAACCTGGATTGTTAGCAGGACTTGCAGAGGATCAGACCATTCACTGAGAACTGGGATCCTTCCCACGCATCTCCTGTTAACCCTGCAAGCCAAAGCCCTAATGGCTAGGGTGGTTCCCAGATGGACAAGCAGTGGGAAGCTGGCCAGACAGTTTGCAATGGCAAACTTTAGCTGGTTAAACTCCAGCAGTACTTTCAATGCATGACTTGGTGACTCCCTAATACGCTTCAGGATTAGGTAAGCAGTGTTCGGTCTCTGCCATGCATTGAATGCGCACTCCATTCAAGACATATGGAGAATTCAAGCGCTCTGGACACTACCCGGCGGGAGGGGGCGCTATATAAATGCAAGTTGTTGTTGACGAATTCAGCAGTAAGCAAACGTGGCAGCCACACTGCACGCCACGTTTTCCCATAGTCATGCCACGGGATTTTTAATGTCATCCAAATAGACGGGACCTCGGTTCAACGACTAATCCGAAGAACGGCACCTCTGACAATGCAGAGCTCCCCCAGTACTGCAGTGGAGCATCAGCCTAGGCTCTGGACTATGAACTCAAAGCCCCAGTGAGGGTCTTGAATCCATAACTTTCTAACTCAGAGACAAGAGTGCTACCCACTAGGCCAGGCTGACAGTGTGAGCAACACTGTGTGAGCCGACCGCATTTTTAAAAATGATCTGTCCTATATTTTTCTTGTATGTGTCTGCCAGATCATTAATAACAATAATAATTCTTGCATTTGGTATAGCGCCTTCTCACCTCATTGAGATGTCTCAAAGCGCTTCACAGAATATACTGTAAAGTGAATTGACTGTATATTTTCTGGGCGAAATTGTCAAGGCAGTGACTCACAAACAGTCGTGGATTGAGTGACCAAATTATTATAATTTATTTTTGGGGGGAGGAATTATTAAAGTCGATCCGCCAATCGACTAACAACCGGTTTCCTACTTTCAGCTAGGTAACCAGAGACGTGTAGAGTAAGGAAACCTGCTGAGGTTTTGCCCTGCCTGAGAATCGAACCCGTGTCCTCTCGCTTGTGAGGCGAGCGCTCCAACCAATATTATGAGCCAGTAGCACAGGAGGTAGCAGATGGTGGAGTGTACTGACTCACTGTGTGATCAAGCCACAAGCTCCTTTTTGCGTCCCATTGTGACTCCCCAGTAATGCAGAGCTACAAACCGGCTGATGACCATTTGCCTGTCAACTTGACAGAATTCAGCCCTGTGTCCTAGTAGACTATTTGCTCTTTGCGGCTCTGATGTTGGTTATAGATAAGACTGTGACTATGTGCAACTATACTTGTGTGAGTTCCAGTAAGACGTCACCTTATCTGGTGAGTGTAAAATTTGGTTGGGTTTACAAGCGTCGCAGTCGCACACATTGTGAGTTTCAGAAAGGGGTCACTGACCCTCATTTCTCACCTTTGTAAATGCTAATCAATCAATTGTTCATCTAAAGGGGTCAGACTAACCCCTCATTATTCAGTATCTGCTAAATCCCAGCCAGCCAAAATGTTGCTCTGCTAGGATTTTCAAACCAAACTGCTCAGAAAACACATTCCTCGGGCTCACTCTTTGACGAAGAACAAGAGTAGTTTGAGATCCCATAAGGGATTAAATTCAAATGATTGCAGTGGTGATACTGAATTCGATCAAATCTCTACCCTGTCTTTTATGCATGGTTTGAAGGAGAAGATTTGTATAATGATGTCGGTGCCTGGGCTGCGTTGAGACGAATATTGTGTGGTTGTATAAATGAAATAATTCCCATCCCGGAATCCCTCTCACTCCCCACCCCAATTTTGAAGTCCACTTCAAGACCTCTTTGTGTTTTTTGTTAGGTAAGGATGCCAAGGGATATACAATACAAAATTATATTTGTACAGCGCCTTTCACTTCGGGAGGACGTCACAAGGCGCTGGATGTGGGCCAAAGGCAGGTATTTGGAGTTGAGGTACAGATCAGCCATGATCTAATAGAATGGCAGAACAGTCTCGTAGGGCTGAATGGCCGCTCCTGTTCCTACGTTCCGACCTTCTCCACAACAGCAATTTCTGATCACTCAGCACCTTGGGGGGATGCTGTGTTCAGTGCTTGTAGGTGTTACAGCATTCCATTCCACCTGGGGACTAGACAACGTGATTCTTTTTCCCTTCCTCTAAAGCTTCGGGCTCAAGCAGCTGTGTGAAGACATTCTCCTGATGAGAAAAATGCTGCGTTGTATTGAATTCAGAACTTGGGTAGATATCATCATCTGGGCACCGCATCAAAAAACATGCTTAGTCTCACCTGCCACTGCTCTCCAGCAACCAGAGAGTGAAATTTAACACTGGCAAGTGCTTCCCTTTAATTTTAATTTAATGAATTCATTAATTCCCATCCGTGCTAGCCATTCTCCCAGATCAGGGTCTCAGCCAAGGAAACCCATTACCATGTTCCTGAGTCTCCAAACTAACTGAGAGTTCCAATGACACTGGGAGAAACTCCTTTCTCCTTTCGAATATTGCCATGAGATCTTCAATGTCCACCTGATTAAGTAGACGGGACCTCAGCGTTTAATGTCTCATCCAAAGGAAGGCACCTCCAACAACGCAATTGGTTGCCCGGCATTGGAATGTTAGCCAGGATGTGGGACACTGCTGTGCGCAATCAGCTGACGCATTTCGCTCCCAAAATGTAGTCAATTCACTTTACAGTATATTCTGTGAAGCACTTTGAGATGCCTTGAGGAGGTGATAAAGAGCGATATCAAATGCAAGGATTATTATTACTGTTATTCAGTATTAGGCGCAGATTCACAAGAGTCAAAGCTTGGGGACCTCAGGGTGCGCAAGAGTTTAACCAGCTAAACTCGCCACTTGCCTCTCGCAATTTACCCAACGCTTGTCCAGCTCGGGCAACCCTACCCACTGGGGCTTTGGCTTGCAGTTAACAGAAACCAAGTGGGAATAATCCCTTTCCTCAGCGACTGGTCAGCTCCTCCAGGTCCTGCCAGAGAGCCACGCTGGCACATCCATCATCAACAGTGGCTGTGGACCCGACTGACTCAGACCAGACTAGAGACTTGATTGTCCTTTTCTATTCGCATTAACTGCAGTAGTCATTGTGTTCGGAAAGAAGGAAGGAAGGAAAGTGTGCACAGGTGAGAGAGGCAGTGCAGGCACTGGAGTGTGGAAAGCTGAATGAGTAGTACGTTTCTTTGGGGTGAAGTCATGTGGGTTTGTCAGGGGCCAGCTCTCTGCCTCTATCAGCAGCACATCCAGCGGTGTATAACGCCCTGCTCTGATGGAGCACACATTACTCTGCTCCTGACAATATCCCCTCTGACATTCAGGAACAATATCACTGAGCAAACTGGAAAAATGATCTGTACCTGGGAAAGCTGCCCCTGTTGCGTGTGAAATACACTGAAATCCACGCCTTTAATTATTACTTCTCTTCATTAACGTGTTTAACCCTTAAAACCCTTAAACCTCCACCCAGGGAATATCCAGGCTCCCCAGGCTGGCCCTTGTATTTCTAAAAAAGAATCTGAAGCCCACACATTTTGATACTGAAACAGATACTAATATTACAGCAATAAACTGACAACAATTGTATCTGCTGTAAGATTAGCTCAGTGCATTAGCTCAAAAACACTTAAAACAGTTTTACATTAAGAAAATTGTCATTTTCTTCTGTTCACCTTGGCTTGCCTTACCTTAAATCTCTTTCCCCCTTT